CTCTCTCTCTCTCTCTCTCTCTCTCTCTCTCAAATAAATAAAAAAAAATTAAAAAAAAATTTAATAAAAAGCATGTAAGGATCAAATGTCTGCTGATGCCGAATGAAGCACTCTAAAGGAGTAAGAGATCGTGAAATTTATATATCTCCATCCATGGATGACCTCCAAATGATATGGGGGAATGGAACTCCCAACCTAAAAGGTACCTGGGATGAGTTTGTGTTCTCTAAAACTGAAGAATGAATTTTAGGAATAAACAGAGGTTAAGAGCAGAATATTTACTAGGGGAAAGAAAACTTCTGTCCTAGACAGGGATAAGAGGAGATAGCGAGTGGGTTGTCCTTCCTCTTGTTTTTTTAATGCATCTCTCATTAATTGGCCACCAATAAGAGCCTTGTATTCTAATTCTGAAGGAGAAAAGAAACTGTCTTCACTTTGTTCATTTTTTGCTGCATTTATTTATTTATTTATTTATTTATTTATTGCATTTGGTTGTTACAGGGTTTCACTACTCAGCTTGGATTCATAATGATCCTTCTGTTTTCAGCCTCTCCAGCACTGGGATTACAAGCATAGGCCACAACACCTAGACTCTGTGGCCAGCTTAGCTTGCCCTGGGGGTAGGGCTGGCATGACATGTAGCACCAGGATTGAACCACAGTCTCTGCACTTTCCTAAGCTTGCTTAGCAGGCGCTTTAGTCCACTGGCCCCTTCTGCTTACACTTTTGATAGAACTTTTAATCTCTTTAATTTCTACTTGAAGCCTTTAAACAGACTGTCTTTTCTATGCTGATCATGTTTTGCATAATTTTGTTTAACTTCGTTAGATTTTTATTAGTCTCTTCTGTAGACTGACTTGATTATTTGGCTCAATATCCATTTGTGTTTATCTTCTGTGAGTTAATGTCTCGTTATCTTCCCTGATATTATTTTGAATTATCAAAGTGTGTAGCTTTTGGTTTCCTCCCCCTCAGTACCCCATGTATAAGCTTTGGGGGAGTGGTGAATTTTTGGATGAGTGTTTTGGCTTGTCTTCTCATGTTTTTATTTTTTGTGTTTCTGGATTGTTGCTTGTGGGTTGACTTAATGAAAAGTTTTGTTTCTTTTTTTTTTATAACCAAATGTATGCTTTATTTTTGGAAAACAAATTTAAAGTTTCCAATAAAGGGGGAAATTCACATTAATAAATCACATATTGGTTACATGTTAATTTCCACATTCTGTGCAATGTGGTATATTTAACATGTTGTTCAATAACAGTATGAATTAACATTTGTGATTTTAAAATCCCAATCACTCATTAATGTTGTAAATCCATATATGTTGAAATAAATATCCAAAATAAGTATATTTTAAAAAGTGAAGTCTTTTGACAATTTTATATTGATCAATCCATTTAAATATAAATAGAGAAAATAAAATGACATTACGGGCTAATTTCCAATTAATTTCTTCATGATATGGCTATCTGGTGTTGCATTAGTGAAGATATGTCCTACAAATATATGGGTACCCCAGAGATTATGGCGGATTTCTTTACAGCAGCCAAGATCATCAACAGAAATTCCTAAGTGTTGGTAGTATTCGTCTGTTTCAAAAAGAGTGTTGTTTGTATATGGTCCAAAAAAAGCCACACTAGATGATGGGTCAGTGAAGTCAGCCCAGTAGCCTTCTGCTCGAAGAACATAGCAGATTTCCTTAGCACTGTTAATGAGCTTGTCTAAGAGCATTTCTCTCTCAACTTCTACCTCTTCACTCCACACAGTCATATCATTCTTAGTTTTCTGAGTCACAGTCAGAATCATTAGTTTGCTATTAGCCACTTCTGGAAATAGTGATTCAAAGTCTCTTTGAAGCAATTCTGGACATGTTTGGATTACACACTCAACTTGACACTTTCAATATAAGTTTCTGCACTGTTAATATCTTGTTCTACAGGTGTATTATTACTCTGAAATTCATTTACATATTGATAAAGGCTCTGCTAGAACATCAGGGAAAGTTTTATGACCCTGGCTTTTGTTTTGTACAGCAGTCCCATTGAGGTGACAATCAAAGCCTATATTTCCAGGAAGCTGGAAACGCTGATCTTGAGATCCAAAAGGTCCCATGGCTTCATCCGGCCACACTGTTCGAGAGCATATATCTGGGGATGCAGGGGCCACCTGAGATTCATCAGAACCTGAAGATCCTGCTGTTGAAAAGGCCTTTGGATTAACAATTCTTCTAACTAAAGAGTAAAATCCTGGGAGATAAGAAACCAGTCTGGCCCTGTTACAGAGCACACTGGCCATGGCTGCCGGAGGAAGGAGCGGTCTTCCCTCTCGTGAATCAGTCCTCAAGCTTTGTTTCTAGCATGGAGATTTATTTAGCTAATGTCCACTTTCTAATTATGTGCACTGGGCATGGCTATTTGTTTTTGCCTCTGTTCAAGGATCCAACCACCCCTATTTACTTGAGGTGGGAGGTTGCAAATGTATTTGGCTTAGTACACAGGAATGTGTTACATTCCTGGTAATGTTAATGATACCAAGGCAATCCTGATATTGGCATCCCATGAAAACAATTAAAAACAACAGCTATGTCACTGTGGTTGTTGTAATAAAACCAGCATTAATTGTAGCATCAAATACAAACTGTAAGGTGCAATAATATACCATCCTTAACCATGGAAAAGAGATCTTTAATTATAGCATGAACACTAAGACAAACTAAATATTGAACTATAGCAAATATCTATTAAATGGTACAAATGTACCTCTGCTAACAATAGAACAATATTCAATAGCAATAGCATAAACTATCTATCTAGAAAGTGACAAAGTTTAGTAGCTATACTAGTAAATGTAGCAGGGGTTTACATTTATTTTATTATTATTATTTTTTTGCTTTAAACAATTTATTTAACTGAAATGGACTTACTTAAGCTTGTTTCTGAAGTGACTTCCATTTATTTTGATACATCTTTTCCCCACGATGATTTACAGGATCTTCAAGCCAAAATAAATACTTTATAAATATTTGAATTTTTGGGTATACACCTGCACAATACCTCAGCAGTATCTTTCAGCAAGAAAATACTGAAGAGTAAAGGCTCGACACAATTACTGGGTACAGTGAAAATCTGCTGCAAATATTTCTGAGGTAAGAAGGCACCACATACCTG